ACTCACGTGAGCAATCAAGTGAGTAATCGAGTACCAATCGATTGAGTACTCACGTGAGCAATCAAGTGAGTAATCGAGTACCAATCGATTGAGTAATCACGTGAGGTATCTGGGAACGATACAGAGAAGATTAGCGTGAGGTGTCTGCGCAAGGATGACACGCATAGATCGAAACGTTGTCCGATTTTTTTTTTTTTATTTGAACACACAAAAAAAGAACAAGCTGCGACCAGCTCAGACTTTCTGGAGGCCTATGAGAGACATGGGACAGGTTCTATGGGTCGGGATCGAGACAGGGAAGGAACTAGTGACGACCTCATGTCATATCAACCACGCCGAGTCATCGATCGGTCGGGATCGAGATATGACGCGGCGTGGTTGATATGGTGTGGATAATCAACGATTGGGCACGATGACTCGGCGTGGTTGATATGGTGTGGATAATCAACGATTGGGCACGATGACTCGGCGTGGTTGATTGCTGACGTGAGTACTCGATCGATTGCCCACGGGAGATGGTGGGGCGAAATGGCTGCAATTGGTACGGTAGGCGCCAGACTTGAATGAAAGAAAGCCCCCTAAAAAAGGGGCTAAAAACATTACTTCTGGCGACTTGAATGAAAGAAAGACCCACCAAAAGCTACAAAAAAACATTACTTCTGACACAGTGAACGAAATCAACAGAGGAGTCTCACTTGGGAACTGACGCGATTACTTGATGACTTTATGAGTACGTACTCCCTTGATTACTCCCTTGATTGCTCCCTTGATTACTTTCTTGATTACTTTCTTGATTACTTTCTTGATTGCTTTCTTGATTGCTCCATTGATTACTCGATTACGCCAAATTATGACTCGATTCCGTCCGGTTGCTCGTTTTTGACAGGCAGGTCATGATGCTTTATAACGCATCATTTCCTTTCTTGAGAACGTCCTTCCTCTGCTATTTTCGCTCCTTGGGATGCATGCGATGATCCCATCGCTCTACTTCCAGACGTGGTTCCGTTATGCGAGCTGCACTCTTTGATGGGTGTTCTATCTTGCTTCCCATTCTAGCAGAATTCATTTTCCTTGTCTTTTTTTTTCCCTCTCCTGTTTTCTCCTCCTCCCGCTTGCGCCACTGATTGCCAGTTACGACTTCTCTCTTATTCTGGGTGTATCATGGTAATTGCTTCTTATTCGCTTGTTTCACACATTCACGCTTCTGACTGAATCTTCACCTGTAGCCGTTTTCCTTCTTCCTTCCTTCCTTTTCTCTCTCTATTCTCAGTTGCTTGGTGGGAAAGTCTGGTGGTGGTCCCGCAAGGCGTAGTAGACTGGGGAGAAGCCCTCTTGAGGAGCGAGTGCCAGGAGCGCAGCCTGATTGGCCGAAACGCCCCCTGAGGGGAAATTGGTATGAAGTTTCATTCTGAGAGCTGTACATGCGGAGAAGAAATGTAAATCTGTTGATGCGTGTACGAGAAGCAGTCTATGGCCACTGTTTTCACTATTCTATCTTATTACCCTGCGATTTCCGTTCTGCATCTTATAATCCTCGATTTCCCCTCTCTATCTGCATCACAAAAGTGTGAGGGCAATGTGTGTGCCCCTCAATTCTCGTTTTCCTCTCTCCGCTCTTTTGGTAGTCCCCGGTTGCATTTCTCTTCTGGTTTTCACAGTACATCTCCTCTAATTCTATCCCCTTCTTTCTCGCCCCTCTATTACCCTCGATTTCCCTCTTTCCTTTCGTCTTCCCAGTTTTCTCCGTACCCTGGTGATCCGCCTGCTTACGGTCTCTCCTCGATGACCCCCCCCCCCGGCTTACGGTCTCTCTTCTACAACCCCTTCGTGGCCTTTCTCTTCCCCAAGGGAGGGTACTAGAGGGGCGAGAAAGAACCTTCCTTGGTTTGCCGTCTCGGCCTCGATGACCCCCCCCCCCCAACCCCTGCTTACGGCCTCTCTTCTACACCCCCTTCGTGGCCTTTCTCTTCCCCTCTCTCTGCTCATGCGTGTCTCACTCCTATGTCCTATGGGCGCTTGCCTCGCACTCTCTTCCGCTCACATTCCTCACCTCTCTTGGCTCCGTTCTTGCTCCTTCAAGAAGTGTTCCAGATCTTGTTTCCCTTTCGTATCTCGCTCTTCTTCCCTCCACCCGCCCTTCTGACTGATCTCAGCCTCAAACGTGTTTTGCATGCTCAACTTCTCTCTCGTTCTCTCTCTGTTTCTCTGTTTCCTTTCTCTCCCGTATGCGATCTCTCATAGCATTCGTCGAACACGGCTCTCTCACGACTCTACGTATTTTGCATGCTCCACTTCTCTCTCTCTCTCTCTCTCTCTCTCTTTCTCTCTCTCTCTCTCTCTCTCTCTCTCTCTCTCTCTCTCTCTGTGTCTGTGTGTCTCTGAGGCATCCGTAACTTTGTCGCTCTCAATTTTGCTCCCTCTCTTTCTCCACCATCCTCCCCTCGTGTTCTTGATTCGTGTTGGAGTTTTCCGCTCGTGCGTTTCGTCATATCGGTTGTCGTTTCTCTTCCGTGGCTTTGATTTGCGTTCTCGGTAATTCTGTGCTTGATTCTTGTTGACGTTTTGTCTTTGTGTGGTCCCGCAATCTTGTCTGTATTGTACACATGCCATCTAACTTTTCACTTCACCGTTCTTGTCTGTCAATGCTGCTGTCTTCGACCGAATAGAACGCCCGGTCATTATCGCTAAGTCCAGGCTGACAGTTGTCCCAAATTCAGCTATATAATGACCTGCCGTTCTACTACCGTCTTCCCCCGAACATAACGCACCCTAGAAATGAATGTATACAAGCTATATTTTCGGCAAGATACAGCCAAAATAAGGGTGCGTTGTGTTCGGGGGAAGACGGTAGGCTGAAGAGCTGAAGACGGCAGCGAACTCTCTCTGAACGTACGTTTATCACGCATGATGGAATCCATAGTGTGTTGTCTTTCCTCTCCGTGCCGCGCAAGCTGGCGCTTGTTACCTTCCACCTGGCGCGCGATCTGCCTCCCTCAGCTTCTCCCCCCCCCCCCGCCCCGCTCGAGCACAGACCTTCCGCCCCCGCCTCATCTCTTTTACTTCCTGCCCCCACGATACGGTCTCTATCCCTCTTCCTTAATCTCTCTTTGCTCTTCCTTGTTCTTTGCCGCTATTCCTCTTCCTTCATCTCTTTCGCTCTTCTTTCTCTGTCGCTATTCCTCTTCCGTAATCTCTCTCGCTCTTCTTTTTTCTTTGCTTCCTCTGCGTGGATTTATTGCCACCTTCACTTTCCCACTGGTGATGCCGGGCCGCTGTTTCTTAGAGCTGTCCTCTTGTCACATATTCTCCTCTCCTCTCTTCTCTACTTCGCTCTTCTGCTTTTCCGATCCTTGGCTGTCCAGCTTTGTTCCCTTTCTGATTCATGCCTTGCTTGTTTTCCAGTGTCTAATTCTGCGTCAGGCTAGAGAGTCTTTCATAGGTGGGAGAATTATCTGCCCCACGTCCGTTTCTTCTCCACACAAAGAAGAGGCGAGAAGTTCTCTTCCCTTCCCCGCGCCCATCTTCATTTCATTTACGAACTTATTTTATTTTCTCAAATTGCGGACTTTTTTTTTCGGACTTTCCGTCGTTTTCTTCTTTTCCTGACCGCTTCTCTCTCTCTCTCTCTCTCTCTCTCTCTCTCTCTCTCTCTCTTCGGCTGCCGCTTAAATTACAGTATCTTCAATTATCTCTTATGCGTACGCGCGACGTCTCTCTACGCGCTCGTCACTCTTCTGCAGTTGCCGGGCCAGTTGGTTTTTTTTTTTTTTTTTTTTTTTTTTTTTCGCTCGTGTTTCTTGCTTGAGCAAGCTCTATACACGTTTTGTTTTTCAACCTCTCCTTCCTATCGGTTGCAATCTGTGTTTTCTTTTATTGTTGTTCTTGTCTCCC